CTCTTACCGGGTGTTACTGAGCGACGGACGCGAACTACCCACGGGTCAGACTGCGGGAATGCATCGCTTTTCAAAATCCGAATACATGTGACCGCACCCAAAAATGCGGTAGGGAGGACTTTTTATGCCCCACCGCCTGAATATGTACTGCACGGAGATATGAACGCCTGTCAAAATAATGCACGTGCCCCAGGACGGGTAAATAGTCCTGTGTCCTAACCAAAACAAAAACCTAAACTCTGTAAATATTTCCGTGTGTAATTTGCAAAGTCGGTTTTGAAAAACATTTTTTCGGTAAATCTTCATCTTTGCAAAAAAAACGTGTAAAATAGTCAATAATCGTCTGACGTAGGCGCCGATTGGCAACTGCGGATTACGTCAGCCTGCGTCAGTAGGCGAGATCGACGTGTTGGGTTAGGTTGTGGGCACTTGTCAGGGGTCAGGTGCATAGAGGGATTACTGTCATTTGTATGGAGCGAGCGACTGTCACTAGTGGGTGGGGGCGATGTGCGATCGTCGGCGTTGGCCACGATAGGGAAAGAGCTTGTGTTAGCGTTTTCTGACAACACAGCACTGGATTCGGTAGCTTTATAGCCACTGTTTTAGCTTTTGAAGGCATCCGTTGGCCTGATGAAGATTTGCCGAGAACATGTTTGCCAAAACAAGCTTTTTAAAAACCTAAACTATTTGGCGGGTTTGTCTGATTTGCTTAATTTAGTTGACCCAATTGTGAAAAAACTCGTGGCGTCGGTGGCAGTCGAACCCGCATAGCAGGGAAGGCCTTTACGCAGCCAAAGCTCTATCACTTGAGCTACGACGCAACATTACAGTTAAATTTAACCCACCTATTTACTCTGAACTTAACCCTTACCCTAGACTTAAGGCTGAAGTTAACCCCTTAGAATGACGCAAGCCACCTGTATGGCGGGTGACCTCTTACCGAAAAATCCTATCAAGTACATGGATTTGATGACATTTTTGGTCGAGCTTTCGCTATCGAAAGGGACCCTATATGCCCACACGTAAAAGCCCCTTCTCGTGTCTTTCGACGTTTAAGTCTTTCTCACAGCTGGTAATGGCGTTGGAGGCATACGTAAACTCCGACTGACAACAGTGTGAAAATTCTTAAGTGTGCTTTGTTTTGTTCTGGTAACACCATGCCTGAACTTTAACAAACGCAACATTTTCGGTGGCAAATTTCAGTCTTGCGGGTTTGTCTCAAGTTTCAAAGTGATTCCTTCTGTTAACAATTCGTGTACCACACTGCAACTCCTGTTCACACTTCTTGCTGAAATGTATGGGTTTTTTATTGCTATTTTATGCGCTCAGTGAGTCTGTGCGTTACGTCTTGCGGGTCGGAATTTTATCCTTTTTTACTCAACCCTTGCTGTTGCGCCCGTCTAAAGCAGCATCCTCTTAAACCGGGCCTTCGTGAGAGTGTGAACTTTTCGGCGGGAAAAGGAGTATTTGAAATGGCGGATATACAAACGCGTCTTTCTGGGCAATTTCTATATTTGAAGAAGATGTTCTTTGGTATAAAGAGTAACCTTAATGAGTTAATTTTCAAGTTTGGCGCCCCAACACGTCTTCGGGCCAACAGGAAAGGTACAATGAACAACTAAACTTTCAAAACTGCCGAAAAAATCAATAATCATATGGGGTGAGACGTGATTGGTAGGTGTGGCCTCAGTTAGTCTCTGTCCTGCGGCCTCCGTTTTTTTCCATCGTTCTTTGACGTGCTTATAAAGACCACCCAACTCTACGTGCCGGTTGATGCATGAGTCGTCGGAGTGCATGGCCTCAAAGAATTCTCGGTTATTTTTGGAGAGGCAAACTCGGAAGATGCGTGTTTTATCCCATGCAAGATGTGTCCTGTGTCGGGGCAATGCATAGCCATTTCGGACAAATAGTCGCGTCTCTTCACGGCCAATCGGTGTTCGTGGACGCGTGTTGAGACCGATCTTCCTTGATAGTTCCACTCAAGGGTCCAAAACAAATACATGGTGAGTTCTCCCTTATATAAGGAATGTGTCTGAACTCGTTAAAAGACAAGAGCACCAATTGGCCACGAAGAGACGTGACCATTTGTCCGAATTGGTTATGCGTAGCCTCAACACAGGACACACCTTTGCATGAGATAAAACACGCATCGTTTGCCCCTTCAAAATGGCCGAGAATTCCTCGAAGCCATGTACTCAGACGATTCATGCATCAACCGGCACGTAGAGTTGGGTGGTATTTATAAGCACGTAAAAGAACGATGGAAAAAAACAGAGGCCACACCTACCAATCACGTCTCACCCCATATAATTATTGATTTTTTTGGCAGTTTTGAAAGTTTAGTTGTTTATTGCACCTTTCCTGTTAGCCTGAAGACGAGTTGGGGCGCCAAACTTGAAAATTAACTCATTAAGGTTACATTTTAGCCGAAAGAACATCTTATTCGAATTAAAATTTCTTGGGATGCGTGTGTTCCAGTTTATACAATTCAATTTCGAAATCTTCAAAATTTACTTTCATTACATTTAGCCACTCCCTCCCCCCTAGGCTGATTATCCGTTTACCAGCGACAGGACTTTTTGATATCTCTGAAACAGGGTTAAGTGCAACTCAGAAGTGGAATTTTAAAAAATCGAAACAGATATGATCAGGCCAACACTACCGTGTGGTAGAACTTTGTAAATTTTCCTCTAGAAAGGTACTCCTATGGGCTCTGCAGTCGTCTCCTGATCGATATGTTGGTCAGTGTGTACTCTGCGCTCTCTGCTTTATCCTACTCAGCCTAAAGTCCTAGTGCTGCGAGCTTTCTGACCTTTCACAAAATTTGACTTATCTGCGCGTTTGTCAGGTAACAAGCAGTGGCGCCGTAAACAAACGCCCGTGTCCGTTCTCCGATTGACTGTCCCCTGAGGTGTTTACTACTGCTAACTTTGTTACTGAACCAAACTCTTTCCCCACGGCCTAAATGCCTTCCTAATTTAAGCCACATATTCAAACGAAAAAGATGCATTTTTCTTTGGCCATATTTATTTTAACACACTCTCCTCTCTTGTGATAACCCTCAAAAGGGGGAAGGTTTTATTATGCATACGGAGTGGGGGAAAGATCAACGCCATTTCTACTAACTGGGTAAAGTAAACTCCCATGCATATGGAATTGAGATAAGCGATTTCTAAACGCGCGTTCAATGTGGCAGTGTCGGGAGCTAGAAATTACTGTCTTGTGAGCCCTATAGTCGGTCGAACGTGATTATAGATGGTGTATTTTGCACCAGTTAAGAAGTAGGCTTCCTTGAACAAACTATTCATCAAGTCAGGCAGCCTATACCGATGTGGAGGGGCATCAAAATTGCTCTGTGGATTGTTTATGGGTCAGTTACTGACGACTTCTTCAGTAACATGTTAGATAAGCATTGAAGAGACTCGCACAATATAAACTAAATCAAATGCGCAATCTTCTAGAGTAATTTAAGAATTTTTAAAAATCCCGATGTTTGCATAACCAAGATCTTCGTGCACTTTGCTTCACAGTAAACTCTTGAGGGTCTAACGACTTTTGTTGTATGGAAAATGTTCTGATACCCCTCTTAGAAATCCACTGGGTTTATCACCAAACCACAAGTGAAAACCACACGTAGCCTACTGAGGAGGATAAGGTTTGCATTTCGGAGAGTTATAAAGTGGTTGGCAATGGGAGTCACGTGTATGATATCGAGGGGAGGGGGGTATTAACTCTTCCCAGCTTACGGTTCGAATTTGGGGTACAGTCAAAGAGAAGGGCTTACTTCGGAGCCGCTTTAGCTTCTGAAATAAGTCCTCGGAATTCCTGGGGACCATTTTTTATTTCCAAGGCGCCTATCACAGCTTCTGTCTATCGCATGAACAGTGTACGCCTGCATTTAGGCAAGTTAGAAAAAAGGCCTCCAGTAGTTCTCGTTTTCGCCGTCATTTGCAACCGTTTTTGTTTAAGCATCTCCGTTTAACCTAGTAATACGTAGAAC